CATGTTTACAAATGAGAAACAGTGGTCCAGTGAGGGACACCTAACTAGTTACAGAAAAACAATCAAGATTTCCTAATCCATATACGGATTCAGATTTTACATATTAGAAAAACAATAAAGTGAAAATAGGTAAGCCAAACTCTAGATCTGTTAGGTCTATCACTAGTTACATGTCATAATTAATTACAACTTAAAATCTTCAGTTGCACTAGTCACATTTCAAGTGCTCGATAGCCATAAGTCAGTAGTAGTTATGTACTGGACAGTGTGATATACAACATATCCAATCCTACCCATCCTTTAAAGGTTAATAAAAATCCTATTTCCTTAATAAAGATCAGGACTGAAGATGAAAATTTGGGAGTTGTCCAAAATTTGAAATCATGAGATAAGAAAGTTAACAGAGGAGCATACATGGCAAAGCAAACAAACAGGGCTACCAACTGAAAGTTTGGTGGAAAGAACACACTAACATCTTTGTGGAAAATTTATAACCTTGGAAAGCATATAGGGCAGTTTTTTCTACTTTGTCCTATACAAACCAAACCAAACACTATTGTCGAGTCATATCTGACTCATAACGACCCCTTCTTGGGTTTCCGAGGCGGTATCACTATGGAAGTAGATTGCCCAACCTTTCTTCCAAGGAGTAGCTGCTGGGTTTGAACCTCCAGCCTTCTGGTTAGCAGTCAAATGCCTTAGGCATTATATCACCAGAGCTCCTATAGAGACTCTATATATCAGAATCATCTAAATGGCAGTGGGTTTGAATTTTGTTTTATTATCACTATTATTATGTATCTTTTACTATTATAATTTACATGCTATCTGCTATTAAAAAGCTCAGTTTCTATGCATTGCAACAGGAGAAAAGGAAGAATGAAATGTCAAAGTAATGAGTGGTCATCATTTTCATATGCTGTTGTTGTTGTTGTTAGGTGCCTTGGAGGCAGTTCCAACTCATAGCGACCCTAGGTACAACAAAAGGAAACACTACCCTTTCCTGTACCATCCTCACAATCTTTGCCATGTTTGAGCCCATTGTTGCAGCCACTGTGTCAATCCATCATATTCAGGGTCTTCCTTTTTTTCATTTACCATCCACTTCACCGACCATGATATCCTTCTCCAGGGACCAGTCTCTCCTGACAATATGACCAAAGTAGAGAGATGAAACCTCACTATCCTTGCTTCTAAGGAGCATTCTAACTGGATTTCATCCAACAAAGACTTGTTTGTTCTTCTGCAGTCCATGGTATATTTAATATTTTTCACCAGCACCATAATTAAAATGTATCAATTCTTCTTTGGTCTTCCTTACTCATTGTACAGCTTTCACATGCATAATGAGAGACTGAAAATACAATGGCTTAGGTCAGGCACACCCTCCTCTTCAAAAAGACATATTTTCTCTGTAACACTTTAAAGGAGTCTTTTCCAGCAGATTTGCCCAATCCAATAATACATCCTTTGATTTCTTGAATGCTACTTCCGTGGACATGGATTGTGGATCCACATAAAATGAAATCCTTGAAAACATCAATCTTTTATGACCCACAAAAATCTCTAATGAAAAGAAAAATGATATTGCCAACTGGTCCAATTGGTAGGATTTTTGTTTTCTCTATGTTGAGGTGTAGTCCATACCAAAGGCTGCCCTTTCCTGCACTATCCTCACAAAACTGTCATTAATCTTCATCAGTAAGTGCTTGATGTCCTTTTTGATGTGGTGGTACAGTGGTTAAAGCATTCAGCTGCTAATCAAAAGGTGGGTAGCTCAAACTCACCAGAACCTCTCCAGGAGGAAGATGAGGCACTCTGCTTCTATAAAGATTTACAGCCTTGGAAACATTATGGTGCAGCTCTACTCTGTCTTATAGGGTCACTAAACCAAAAAAACCAAACTCACTTCCATAGAGTCGGATCCAACTCATAGTGACCCCTCCTTGGGTTTCCGAGGCATTATCACTGCAAGTCAGAGTTGACTCAATGGCAAGGAGTTTGGTTTTGATTTCACATGCTAAAGAGTGATTAAAAAGAAAAAGACTAAGAAAAAGAGAAGTATTTAGTGCCAAGACATCTTTGGTGCCAACAAAGAGAGCAGTTGCAATAAAATGGTAGAAAGAAATTCAATATTGTATGGAGATAATGACTGGTGACAAAGTAGAGACAGTAAGATTAGAAATGACAATTCCAATGTAGGTCAGAATTTTTTTCTGAAAAAAAAAGTAGAAAAGTAAGGTACTATGCTATATGCGGAACATTTGTTGAATAAAATAAATCTATAAATGGTAAAGTGATGAATAACAATTTTTCCAAGCAAGTGTGAAAATCCTGTTGAAGATGGATATCATGAACAATAGGAATATTTTTGTGACATTGTTCAGA